CGACCCCATAATCCATTGCAGGGTGGAGTCTGGGCAACAGAATGGAGCTGAGTATTTACTGGCCGGATGCCCTTCCTGTTGCCAATGCGGAGTTTTTCCCCATTCAGATATATTCTCAGCGTGCCGAGAGAGAGAAATATCTGCCTCTCAATAGGATCAAACTCACAAGCCTCCTGATCGTGAGGTGAGAGCTTCACCTCTAAGGCACCGCACCCCTCAAAATTTCACATTTAAACGATCGGCAGATCTTGATGAAAACCATGAACGGAAGCAGACGTTAAACATCAACACACAAACACACCCTTCCCCTTACATCACTTAATTTCACTGATCTTTTAATGAGCAAAAGAGAACAGGGGTGACTCCCAGAGAGGAAGCAGGGCTGAAATGAGTCCAACGAGTCCTCGTTGGTGCACTAAGCTTGGGGAGTCATACCGGATCAAAACCAGCCTGCTACATAGCATTTTCATTTTACAAAAGGCACTTGCCCCAAGGGTCAAAGGTACAAACATATAAACCATGAGGCTTCATTCAAAAAAAAAAAAAAGCTTGATTTTTTTTTGCATGGAAGATATTAATAGAAGTAGCACGATTTGGATTGACATGGTTGTAATATACAGTCTTAAACTCACCGGATTTTGGCAGGTGAATGTTAGTTGGTGCTGCCCTCTACTGGAGAGAAGACAAACTGTCCATGGGGATTCATTAATTTAATGATTTTAAGTCAGTTTTTGGCTGCTTGAAGATGCGTGGACTTCAACTTCCAGAATTCCCCAGCCCGGTACTGTAATTCTGGGAGTTGGAAGTCCACACATCTTCAAGCAGCCGAGGCCGAGAAACACTGATCCAAGACTTAATATCACCAAGGATTCCTAAGAGTGAGTCATTCAACCTTTCGCTCCACTGTCATCACTGTTAAATTAAACCCTAGCCAGATTTAGAAGAGCTGTAGAAAGATTCTGAGTCCACGTCACAGGCAGAAATCTCTCTCCTGGGGTTGGAGTTATCCTCACTGATTAGCTGCCTTCTTGACTGGAGTGGATTGCAAGCTGAAAAGGGGATTTTTAAAAGCTGGCCAGGTTTCTCTCCATAACTCTACTAAAAAAAATACACTTTTTCAGCCTGGGGTCCATCGAGATATAATTTCCTCACCAATTTCCTGAGGCAGCCAAATGTTTGTATGATACAGCAGCATCTTTGTATGACACAGCAGCATCTCTAAAGGGGAGGGGGGGAAGGGGGAGGGTCAAAGCAACGTAACCTAAGCCCCGCCCTTTTTGCAATGCATCACGACATCACCAGCATGTTCCAAAAGGGTGGAGCTTGTAGCACAGGGATACTTCTATCGTGATGATGAAAGGCACCCTTGCTATGATGTCAGGGCTAAAGGCTCTTTGAAGCCCCACCCTTTCTCAGAAGCTCCGCCCACTAAAGTCAGAGGGGGTGTCACAGCTTCAGGAAGCAAATACCTGCCTGGGTGCCATTATCAAGGTGGGGGCCTTCATGGGCCAGATTAATTTCTCCACCCGTGCAACACACAAATGCATACGTGGCAGTGGTGGGTTTCAAAATTTTTTTACTATCGGTTCTGTGGGTGTGGCTTGATGGGTGTGGCTTGGTTGGCGTGGCAGGGGAAGGATACTGCAAAATCCCCATTTCCTCCCAATCAGCTGGGACTTGGGAGGCAGAAAATCGATGTGGGCGGGGCCAGTCAGAATTTTTACTACCAGTTCTCCGAACTACTCAAAATTTCCGCTACCGGTTCTCCAGAACTGGTCAGAACCGGCTGAAACCCACCTCTGAATTATGTGGGCAGCAGCGTACATCAGCTACGATGGCTAGCATGATGGCTCCAGTTTGATTGGCGTTCCAAATGTAATAACTCTTAGCCAGCAGGACCAAATGCATGGCGGAAAAAAAGGCAGGAAGAGAGACCCCCCCAAAGCCAAGCTCACATCCTTTCCACCCTCAAGCTCACCCTTTGCATCAGCTAATAATGTTGCTTACTTCTAACACGACGAAGCCCCCGTTATCCTTCTGCATTATACCTGGGACACATTTGAGGATGCTAGAGACTCCCCATTCCGGCAGCCAACAAGGACTACCAAGATTTCTGACTGCAGCACTGCTTCCAGCTATTAAAAACCACATGCCCTTGGGGAACGGTGAAATCACTGTCAGCCTATTAAGATTGCATTATTTATCATCACTTTCCAAGAGACCAGCCTCCTCCCTCTGTCTCTCTCCCATCTCCCCTTTGAACTTTTCCTCCATCTGGGCACAAATAGCCCTTTCATCTGAGCTCAGTGGGAAATACTGTTGTCCTCGACTGGCCACAGGGGGGAAAAAAATAAACCAGAGGGAAGCTGCCTTTCCTCAGCAGATTTCTACAAAAAAAAAAAAAAGCTTTTTCAACCTCTTACATTGCAAAGCTTCATCTCTAGAGCTCATCAGCTGGGTGAATCGGTGGATGAGATCACATCCTGCAAGAAAGGATGTGCAGAAGATGGCAAGGGATTCTCCAGCAGCAGCAAATGGGAAAGGCAACTAACTGTCTGAGGGGGTGGGCTGCAGACAATCCTGGGTTTAAAAAATTCTACACATGGATATCTATATCTATATCTATATCTATATCTATATCTATATCTATATCTATATCTATATCTATATCTATATCTATATCTATATCTATATCTATATCTATCTATCTATCTATCTATCTATCTATCTATCTATCTATCTATCTATGTTTTCTGAGGTTTTCGCGGGTGTTTGTATGTAGGTCTTTGGTTATTTGGGTTTTCTCCTGCGTAAAATTGGAGGTTTCTTGGCAACGTTTCGACGAAGTCTCATTCGTCATCTTCAGGCTGGTGTCTTCGGCTTCGTGCTTCTAGGAGCAATGTGTGTGATCGCAGCTGTTTCTTCCTTTTAACTGGAGGAAGGAAGGAACTGTTAAAAGGAAGAAACAGCTGCGATCACACACATTGCTCCTAGAAGCACGAAGCCGAAGACACCAGCCTGAAGATGACGAATGAGACTTCGTCGAAACGTTGCCAAGAAACCTCCAATTTTACGCGGGAGAAAACCCGAATAACCAAAGACCTACATATATATGTGTGTGTGTGTGTGTGTGTGTGTGTGTGTGTGTGTATATATATTGCTAACTACCCATTCAGAAGTTAACCTAGGGGTGTCAAACACAAGGCCCCGGACTGGATCCGGCCCGTGATGTGGTCGGATCCAGCCCATGGAGCCGTCCTGGAAAATGTAAGGAGCCTTCCTGCGTCGCTTCGGCCGGGTCTACCCAATGTAAAGAGGAAACATGCCAGCAGTTTGGGGAGTGGTGTCAAGCTGGCCACGCCCATCCAGTCCGCCACACCCAGTGAGTGGCGTCAAGATGGCCACACCCACTCAGTAAACCACACCTACCCAGTCATTGTCCCCAATACTTGTATAGGTAAGCTAGAATAATATCCAGCTTCTTGCCCAGAGGTGAAATCCTCTGAAGTCTGCTACCGGTTCTGTGAGTTTGCTACTGAATGTGCGTTTTGTGCGCACACGCACAGCACTAAAAAAGGAACATTTTGAAGCCTTCCGAGTCTGCAAAGGTAAGTAGAACAGCGAGGGAGGGTGGAATCCGATGTGCCACACGATTTAAATTATCTAGAAAGCAGGAAATCCGACAATTCTAGCTAATATAAAGCACACGTCACAGCTGATCGTCGCACAACTGATCATCGGAAATACCGGTTCGCCTGAACCAGTAGCATTTTTTACTACCAGTTCGCGAGAACCGATCCGAACCGGTAGCATTTCACCTGTCCTTGCCCAATGGTTGGGTTGTCAGAGCAAACTGATAGGAAAAATATCTAGTACCATCTTGCAATGGGGACAACCACCAAACTCTTTATCATTCTCAGTGGGCAAAATCTCCCTACCTACCTTTAAAAGCCAATTGTGCACCCGAAAATCCTGTATCAGAACTAATAGAACCATGGCTAATAAAAAAAAACAAAAACGTGCTAATGAACACATTATCAAATCTACCTCCTTTTCTTTACACATTGATGTGGTCAATCTTATAATTAAAGATCATCTTGGAGAAGGGGCTTCTAATTGGTTGCTAGGAGTCAACACCAACTTAGTGGCTCATCATCCATCCATCCATCCACAATTTTAAAGAAAAGACACAGAGGAAAAAAACATGATTTCGGAAAGTTTCTCATCCCCTTCTAGGATTGCAATCCAGATTGGCTGTGCGATCTCAATGGCACAATCATGAACAATTAGAGAACACCAATGAAATAGCGCCTTATGCCGGGGTGGGCTTTTCTTTGACGATAAGGAAAAACATTCAGGATCTCTCTCTCTTTGTTGTTTTTAGAACTACCCATGTTTCCCCAAAAATATTTTTTTTTGAACCCCAAAATAAGCGCTTGGCCTTATTTTTGGGGAGCTCTTATTATTTTGGGGCACGTGGAACAAGACGGGGCTCCTCTTGCCATCTTACCTGATTACCAGCTCTGTCTCCCTAACCCTAACCAGAGGAAATGGCGAGGACTGCTGCGCATGAGGTGAAATATTTTTGGGGAGGGCTTATTTTTGGGGAGTGCATGCGCTCAAAAGCCCAATTGGGCTTATTATTGGGGAGGTCTTATTTTTGGGGAAACATGCAGTGGTGGGATTCAAGTAATTTAACAACCGGTTCTCTGCCCTAATGATTTCTTCCAACAACCACTTTGCCAAACTGCTCAGAAAATTAACAACTGGTTCTCCCGAAGTGGTGCGAACTGGCTGAATCCCACCACTGGAAACATGGTATTGCCTTGGTGGGAGTCCCAAATTGATCTCATGATAGCAATCATGGTTAGTTCTGAACGGGAGACCATCTGTGAAACCGAGGATGGTATACTAGATTGAAAACTTGAGCAACCAACAAACCACGACTTCTCTAAAGCTGCCGAGAGAACTGCACGGGATGCAGCCACCAGGAGAAGGACTTGACTCAAGGGGTTTTTATTTATCCAGAAGCCCAAGAAGAGCTTTTTAAAGGGGAAGAGCTCAGACAGGGCCCTGCTGTAAAAGCAGCTTGAGCTGACCTCAGGAGTTAGAATCCTTCACGGTCACTAGAATTCGGCCGAAGGCCAATGGTTAGAAGGCTGCCCTCCCTCTCTGAGAAGCAGTAGACTTCAAGCAACAAGCCAAAACAGAAGGGGAAGGTCTTGGTAAGGGGGCTCAGTTGGGTTTCGGATGACCCCGGAGGCAACCAGTTCTGGAATTCACTGGAGTTGTGGCAAGCAATGTGGCCTTGCTGGGAGGACTAAGACCAGGCAGAACAAAGGAGGGGAACGCTCCAGATCCAGGAGGAGGAAGATATACAGCTACCTAGGAGAAGAGGAGAAAAGGAAAGCAGTGAGGCACAGTGGAGAAAGTTGACATTCAAATAAAAAAGAAAGAAGCTCAAGACCCAAAGTGACCTGTGATGAGATCCCAGTTCCAGCCAGATAATAGCAATAGCACTTAGACTCATATACCGCTTCATAGTGCTTTATAGAACCTCTCTAAGCAGTTTACAGAGTCAGCCTATTGGCCCCAACAATCTGGGTCCTCATTTTACCCACCTCGGAAGGATGGAAGGCTGAGTCAACCTTGAGCCTGGTGAGATTCGATCTGCCAAACTGCTGGCAGCCGGTGATCAGCAGAAGTAGCCTGCAGTACTGCACTCTAACCACTGCGCTACCGTGAATTTATCATGGTTATGAATGCCATCTTGCTGCTGGAGTTACCCTCACTTGTTTTCCAGATTTATTCAAAACATCAAACAGCTCAGTTGCCAGTCCTTTTTGAGCTTAAACTCCTGGTCCAATATTACTTCAACTTTGGCTCTCTTACAATTCAGACCCAGAACAACACACAGCTTAGTGCTGCAATCCATCCTGAACCTACTTTTATTTATTTTTACCACTCTCCACTGGCTGGCTCTTAGACAGAGGCCTCCATTTCATGTCCCAGCATGCCCCACATGGAACAAATACAATGTCACTTTGGACAGGTTCGCATGTGCACACACACAATTTAAAGTTTGGCAGTTTGCAGCTGAAAAGGGCGACTCCAGATGGAGCCTACGAGACCCAGTTCTCCACCTGGTAGATGATGGCTTTGCTCTCCACATCTCATACAAATCCTTTTGTACAATTCCTCACCCAGTTTTGAAAATGAGAATCGAGCAGTTGCAGTGAGAGCCTGGTTTTTCCTGTTTAAATCCTTGGCACAATTGTGGGAATGTGTCAGCTGATGGGCTTGGACCTTCAACCCCATTGCAGGCTTAATTTTTACTTCATTATTGCTGAGGTCATAAAATGGAATACCTACCCCAGAGGTCCAAAAGAAGATAATCCTGAAAATTAAAACAAGTCAATCTTTTTTATCCCCAAAATAAGAAATGTAGACAGGGGAAAGAAAACTGGTCTCGCCTGCCTCCAAATGTCATGTTATCAAGAAAACAAGATGCCCAGGGGTGAAATCCTACCGGTTCGGACTGGTTTGGGCGAACAGCTACAGATTATTAGCATCAGTTTGCCGAACTGGTAGTAATCACCCCTCGTTGGCCCCACCCACTCCGGGCCAGTCGCCACTCACCTCTTCCGGCCGCTCAATATTCCACAGAATTCAATGTTAAATGCAGCAGAGAGCATGCTAACTTTTCTCCCTCCATTCAGAACGGAGCTCCTGCAGCCTGTCCCTTTAAGGTAGTCCCCAGGAGGGAGGGGGCCAGGAGGGGACCATAAAGGGAGCAGCAGCTCCGTTCTGAATGGAGGAAGAAAAGTTAGCATTCTCTCTGCCACAGAATTCAATGTTAAATGCAGCAGAGAGAATGCTAACTTTTCTCCCTCCATACAGAACGGAGCTGCTGCAGCCTGTCCCTTTTAAGGTAGTCCCCAGGAGGGAGGGGGACGGGGGGGGAGCAGCTGGAATGGAGCCATTTTTGTGAAAGGCAGGAAAATGGGGAAGGGGATTTTCCTACCTGTCATCTATTCCTCAATCTCAGCACAGACTGAGGAAAGGATGGTAGGCAGGATTATTCCCCTCCCCATTTTCCTGCCATTCGCGACAAGGAGTGGCTGGGAGGGGAGGGGCCCATGAGGAGCCCCTCGATGTGAGTGATGTTGAGTTGGCCACACCCACCCAGTCACATGACCTCCCCCCAACAAGCCACACCCACAGAACCGGTAGGGGAAATTTTTTAATTTCACCACTAAAGACGCCCCTCCTTTTTTAAACAGATGAGTTATTTATAACAAACAAAACCCAAACAAAGCTAGCTTTCCTTTTAGAATCAATATAGTATCTGCATGAACAAGCCCTCTGTTCTCGAGACCATTTAGATCTTACAGGAGAAGAGAAAGGGGGAACTAAATGTTGCATTTTGCAGAGAGCAACGAAGGCGACAATCGATGGTAAAAACCACAAGAGTGAAGCGAATCAAACTGAGGTTAGATCACAAGAGCCATTTTTCATTTAATCTGCAAGCAACTCACCAGTTCCAATGTCTTCTATCTCATCCTTGTGGATAAACCTAGTGAGAATTATATATAAAAAAAGTCTGATTTTTTTTAAAAAGGCCTTTCCCACACTTTATTTATTTATTTATTTATTTATTTATTTATTTATTTATTTATTTATTTATTATTTAAATTTGTATACCGCCCTTCTCCCGAAGGACTCAGGGCGGTGAACAGCCAAAATTAAAATACATACAATATAAAATTTAAAACAATTTAAAAACAGAATTAAATCGAATTGGCTTCCCAAAAATTAAAACCCATTACCCTTAAAATAACCCATTAAAACTTTAAGCTAAGACAGCCTGTTTCCTCCGGTGTCTGTGGCATTATATAGCCAAACAGTTTTTAAAACCATCTTGGTTCTGAATGCCAGATGCAGCAAATATAAATAGGCAACCATTTCATCATCTGTAGAAGATTTCTAATTTCCACTACCCAGCTCCATGCTGTCCCAAAGGTACCCCTCGTTTGAAAACTGCGCTCCGCACAAATTAATCATCCTTTTAAAGGACATCTAAGAGATCAGAGATTTCCTTGCATATTACCATACTTAATGCAGGCCTATGATGATATTAAGAAGAGATTGGATAATCCATTTGTCCAAAATGGTATAGGGTTTCCTGCCTAAGTAGGGGTTGGACTAGAAGACCTCAAAGGTCCCTTCCAACTATTCTATTTTCTTTTCTATTCTATTCTATTCTATTCTATTCTATTCTATTCTATTCTATTCTATTCTATTCTATTCTATTCTATTCTATTCTTTTTTTTTTTAATTTGATTTATATGCCGCCCTTCTCCGGAGACTCAGGGCGGCTTACAGTGTGTTAAGCAATAGCCTTCATTCTTTTGTATATTTATACAAAGTCAGCTTACAACCTTGAGCCTGGTGAGAATTGAACTTGCAGTAATTGCAGGCAGCTGGATGTTAAATGCTGCCTTAGGAGGCATTAGCCTCCTACGCCACTCAGGCTCTTTTTTTTTCTATTCTATTCTATTCTATTCTATTCTATTCTATTCTATTCTATTCTATTCTATTCTACTCTATTCTATTCTATTCTATTCTATTCTCAAGCTCAGTTTTCTTTCTCTTGTTCCCTTTGCTTAAGTTAGAGTTGGGCAGCAATAATCCTTTGAAATAAATATATAAAAAATAATCATTTTTAAAAAGTTCCCTAGCCCAGGAAATGTTCTCCCCAGGAGAAAAGGGAAACAGGGGGGGGGATGTAGCCACAGGTTGGCTCTTACGCCGGATTGAGCTGCGCAGAGTTCCTTCCTCTTCATCCGGTTCTCCAGTCCTGGGGACAAAACCAAACCGTCACACTGGGTTTCCACCACTTGAACTACCATCATAGCAGCCAGTGAAAACTTTTTGCATGCAGAACAGCTTTAGAGCATTAACTTGCAATGTATTCCGTACACACCACAAACCCCTAGAACAGTGATGGGAAAAGGGAGCATGCGTGTGTCTGGGCCGCAACCCAGAAGAGAAGCTGTCCAGGGCGCATGCACGTTTCCGAAAATGAACTTCCGGTTTCAGCTACTGAACTTCCTGTTTCAGTCAGCTACTCTTCCGGGTTTCTGACACGCATGCTCACGCAACGATCAGCTGACCGGCATGCATGCTCACGTGGGAAAATGGAAGAGCCTTGGTAGTACAGTGGTCTAAGGCACCCTGTTATTAAGCTGGTTATTAAGACCAGCTGCCTGCAATTACTGCAGGTTCGAATCTCACCAGGCTCAAGGTTGACTCAGCCTTCCATCCTTTCTAAGGTAGGTAAATTGAGGACCCAGTTTGTGGGGGCAATAAGCTGACTTTGTATAAATATACAAAAGAATGAAGGCTATTGCTTAGCGCATTGTAAGCCGCCCTGAGTCTCCGGAGAAGGGCGGCATATAAATCAAATTAAAAAAAAAAACCAGCTAAAAGATCGTCTAGCTTCCGGCACTGCTGCATGCAAAAAGGCTGGCTGATCGTCACGCGCGCATGCGCACCAAAAACCCGGAAGAGGAATGGGCGACGCCATGGGTGCCAGGGGACACGGCTCTGTGTGCCACTTCGGGCACGTGTGCCGTAGGTTCGCCATCGCGGCCCTAGAAGCTCTGCAGCTCCTATCTTTACAGTATTTCCCCCCCCTTTTAAAGAACTGTTTCAGCTGATTGTAAAAACGGCAGGTGTGTCCAAGCTTGGCAACTTTAAGATTTGGGGACTTCAACTCCCAGAATTCCCCAGCTAGCACGAGGGGAATTCTGGGGAGTCGAAGTCTAACGCATCTTAAAAGTTGCCAAGCTTGTATACCCCTGTTGTAAATTACTGCGCTATCAGAGCTGAGGAAGCTTCTGGGATGAGAAGTGCAACGTCTTCGAAGAAAAAACCACAGTCCAGTTGCCTCTTGAAAGAAAGAAGAAGAAGAAGAAACACCTTTGGGACATCAAATTTGGCCCCTTGCAAACGGACACCCAAAGAATTTAGCAATGTTAGAAATTGGCACGTTGAGTTCTTTATTTTTCCTCTCTTGCGCTGCATTCTTTTGTGCCGTGTATTCAGCCAGAGTAAGGCTGAAAATCTTGCCTTGATAAATCATTGGAATGCAACGTGCTGGGAATTGTACTGGCTGAAGAGAGAGGCAGAGTTATCAATGCAGGCGGCTCAGGGATGATGTCACTGGGTGCGGGACTTGTACAGGCATAGAAAGTGTTGAGGATTTTATAAATATATATAAAAGCTATGCTACAGCGTCCCCTGCTGACATCCAAAAGGAATGATGATTCTGCATACTAAAGGTAATGATAAACTATATATATATAATAAGGTCAAAACTGAATGTGCAAATGGGGTGCAGTAAAATGCCGCAGTGGGAATTCTTGCCTTTCCCTCCAAGCACTGTGTTGTTTGTGTGCTTCATTCATACAAGAGAAACATCCACAGCTGTAAAAAAATGGCCAACCCATTCTGCTACTCATCCCTTGTAGAGCCAGCAAAAGAAGTCACATTAAAATATATGCAGTCCTCATTTAACAATTGTCCCGTTCAAAGACCATTTAAAGCAGTGTTTCTCAATCTTGGAAGCTTGAAGATGGGTGGACTTCAACTCCCAGAATCCCCCAGCCAGCGCTGCTGGCTGGGGGATTCTGGGAGTTGAAATCCACCCATCTTCAAGCTACCAAGGTTGAGAAACACTGATTTAAAGTTATGACAGTGCTAAAAAAATACTTCTATGACTGAGGCTTGTATTTACAACCGTCACAGTCCCTCAGTCACACAATCACTATTATAGCCAGTATGGAATAGAATGGAATGGAATGGAATGGAATGGAATGGAATGGAATAGAATAGAATAGAATAGAATAGAATAGAATAGAATAGAATAGAAATAGAATAGAATATAGAATAGAATAGAATAGAATAGAATAGAAATTCTTTATTGGCCAAATGTGATTGGACACACAAGGAATTTGTCTTCGGTGCATAAGCTCCCAGTGTACAGAAACAATACATTCAGAATTTGTATCATTTCTGGGTTGACTGAGATACCTGGACATCATTGTGGTTCATCCTGGACACTTACAAGCTTTTCCCAACCTGGTACTTTCCAAAATATCTGCAATTACAGTGCAGTTACCTCTGAAGGATACCAGATGCAAGAAAACTGCTGTAGATTCAATTGCTTATATGACAACCAAAATTAGCCAGGGTGTTGATTAATCAGCCCTTCTCTTGAAACAATCTGTGATACTCTTTTCTTCCCAATTTTCACAACTCTTATTTGCTGCTAGCCCCCCACCACTTCCAAATCTCCATTTTATGGTGTATCATCTGAATATTTCTACAAGGGTCAAAATTAAAGCTCATTTACTGGGTAATTATCTACATCATGCTTACAAGTTAACCTTCTAATGCCCCGTCTCTCTCCCTGCTTCCAATCCCGGCATCCCAGAAAGAAAGCAATTATCAGCAGATGTATTAATTCAGAGAATGAATCATCGTGCTGGCCAGATTCTTCCCCAGCAGGGAGATAAAAGAAAATGGAAATAAAAGAGAATACAGAAGAAGACGATGCAGGGTGTTTCAACGGTCTCCAAATAATTAAGATATTCGAACCACATCAAAAAAACATGCAAAACTACATCATGCTATTTGGCTCCCCCCCCCTTTTCTTTTTTTTTTTTCCATACTGCCCTTCTTCGTCCATTTGAAACAACTCGGATAACCGCAGTTCCACATCCCCTCCAAATTAACTTTATGAGATGATTTTTACCTTTGCTGCTGGTTGAACTTGCAACGGCAGTGCCGGCCTAGGAAAGAAAGAGATGAAGAAGAGTTGAGCAAGGACCCGAAAAGAATCTGAGCAGGGATGAGGGGTTTTTGGTGAGAAGCACTATTTAACAGAATAACAGATGTTGGAAAGGACCTTGGAGGTCTTCTAGTCCAACTCTCTGCTCAAGCAGGAGATCCTATATCATTCTGGACAAATGGCTATCCAATCTCTTAAAAATCTGTGTGTTGGAGCACCTAGAACTTCTAGAAGCAAGCTATTCCACTGATTAAATTGTTCTCACTGTCAGGATATTTCTCCTTACTTCTAGATTGGTTCTCTCCTTGGTTAGTTTTCATCCATTACTTCTTACCCTGCCTTCAGTTGCTTTGAATCAGAGCAGAGGAGAGCCTGTAGCAGAGAAGGCCTCAGACCACAATGCCAATACAATGCTCTCCAACTTCCATTCTCTGACACAAGGAAGAGGGTTCTGCTATCCATAGTAGGAATCTGGAGCACCTTTTCAGAGTAGAGTAGAGTAGAGTAGAGTAGAGTAGAGTAGGTAGAGTAGAGTAGAGTAGAGTAGATAGATAGAATAGAATAGAATAGAATAGAATAGAATAGAATAGAATAGAATAGAATAGAATAATAGAGTTGGAAGGGACCTTGGAGGTCTTCTAGTCCAACCCCCTGCTTAGGCAGGAAACCCTACACCACTTCAGACAAATGGCTGTCCAATCTCTTCTTTAAAACTTCCAATGTTGGAGCATTCACAACTTCTGGAGGCAAGTTGTTCCACTGATCAATTGTTCTAATTGTCAGGAAATTTCTCCTTAGTTCTAAGTTGCTTCTCTCCTTGATTAGTTTCCATCCATTGCTTCTTGTCCTGCCCTCAGGTGCTTTGGAAAATAGCTTGACTCCCTCTTCTTTGTGGCAACCCCTGAGATATTGGAAGACTGCTATCATGTCTCCCCTAGTCCTTCTTTTCATTAAGCTAGACATACCCAATTCCAGCAACTGTTCTTCATATGTTTTAGCCTCCAGTCCCCTCATCATCTTTGTTGCTCTTCTCTGCACTCTTTCTAGAGTCTCCACATCGTTTTTACATTGTGGTGGGCAAAACTGAATGCAGTATTCCAAGAGTGGCCTTACCAAGGCATTATAAAGTGGTATTAATACTTCACATGATCTTGATTCTATCCCTCTGGTTTTCTCATTTTCAGGAAAACCAAAAAAACAAGTCTTAAAGTGACCAATGTTGGAAACCCCTGATCTATGACACATTTTATTTTACGGGCAGAAGTCTTGGATCCTACAGTGCAATAGTTGGGTTCAGACACAAGAGAGAAGCCAGACTCAACCAAATTACACCAGTGCTTTCCATGATGTATGAACACACTCGGTATACTTCAAGAGTTTTCTGATCCCAACCCACTAATCCCCAATCCTGGCCAACCACTGGATGGTAGCTACTCACTAAAAATAATCAGGATGCCCATCAGAAACAGGACAACTGCAAACACCAAGCCTCCAACTCTCAGCGAGTAGTAATCTGGTGTGAGGGGAAAAAAACGAGTTTGTCATGCAAGGAATAGAAAGTAGCCTGGAATTAGAACAAAGAACCCTATTTCTACAGGCCTAAAACCCACCAGGTCTACCCTTCCCTGGGCCAACAGAAAATTATTTTACCTCCATCACAGATCCCTCTCCTTCCTGCTTTATGAGCTCCAAGAGGAAGACTATGTCCATAGTCGAGCACATGTATTACCATGGTTTTATTATGTTGCGATTGTCTGCAAATGGAGAGCCAGCATGGTGTAGTGGTTAAGGTGCTGGCCTAGAAACCAAGAGACTGTGAGTTCTAGTCCTGCCTTAGACAGGAAAGCTAGCTGGGTGACTTTGGGCCAATCACCGAGAAACTGAGAATTCTACTCCTGTCTTAGGCAATGAAAGGCAGCTGGGCATGGTCCCTCTCCCTCAACCCAACCCACTTCGCAGGGTTGTTGTCGTGTGAAAAATAGGATGAGGAAGGAGTATCAGGTAGGTTCACTGCCTTGAGTTATAACAAAGGTGGGAGAAATAATAATAATAAAAAAACAAGTGGATTCCAGAGGTGTTCTACTTCAATTCCAAATCAACAAATTATTGTGGACATCTTTCCCCACTTATCTTCCTCAGGGGTGGGCTGCTGGGGGTTTATTTATTTATTTATTTATTTTATTGAATTTCTATACCGCCCTACTCCCGAAGGACTCAGGGCGGTGCACAGCCATGAAATAAAACACATAGATATACAAAATTTAAAATCGAATAAAATGAATTAAATAAATTTGGCTGAATTAATACCCATAATTTAAAATACCCATATTTTAAAATATATTAAAAATTTAAAATTTACACTTAAAAGGGAGAAGATTTAGGCGAGGCCAGCTTGATGAAATAAAAGCGTCTTCAGCTCGCGGCGGAAGGGTTCGCAGGGGTTCGGGAGAACCTCTAGCTAAGAATCTATGCAGTTCAGAGAACCCTCTAATCCCAATCCTGATTGGCCCCACCCACCCCGCCCTGCCCTTCCCCATGCGGCCCGTTTTGGATGCAGGTCAGTGCAGGGCGCACATGGAGGCTTGGGGACGGCGAAAAACAGGCCTACCGGAAGTTCGGGAAGGCCAGAAACAGGCTCCAGAGGGCCTCCGGAGCCTGGGGAGTCTATTTTTGCCCTTCTGGAGGCTCGAGGAAAGCCTCCAGAGCCCGGGGAGGGCAAAAACGCCCCCCCCCACCATGGTGCAGGCCACGCCCACCATGACCACACCCACCCAGCAACTGGGCAGAGAACCCCTTGCTAAAATGTTTGAGGTGATCTTCCTCTACGTTGTTGTCCTATTAACTCCGCAAAGCAAGAAGGGAAGGGTGGGAAAGGAACACAAAGGCATTTCCTTACCTTTCCATCCAAAGATCTAATACTGGCTTTTAAGCAGGGGTGGGTTCTAACCAGCTTTACTACCGGTTCTCTTTGTGCGTGCGCTTTGCGCGCGATCGCCTCTTTGGTCGCGTGCTTTGTGCTTTGCGCAAGCGCGTTGTGAATCTGCCCAGCTGAGGTGCGGCAATCCGCTCTGCCGCACCTCTCAGCTGGGCGAAAAAATAAGAAATATAAGGTCGGAATAACGTGGGAGCGGGCTGGAAGGCCCAGCTCCCGAAGAAAGAGAACCGGTTCGGTGACGTAATAGCGTCACCGCTACCAGCTTGGCCGAACCGGGCTGAACCGGCAGCAACCCACCACTGCTTTTAAGCCAGAGGTCAGGTGGGAGTTTTTTTCAAAGAAAGCCCGAAGAAAAGGGATCCTTCAATCTAAAGCATTATTGTGGCCCTCAGAATCATCTGCCTTTTTCCAAATTAAATAAAAACAGAGGAATCCTTCTGAGTTGTTTGGTTGTTTTCTTTTTTCTTTTTCCTGTGCTTTGTTTCCTAACTCTGCCGGTTGTAGCAATTTGCATTGGCTCCCAAAGGCCCCAGACAAGCTTTCAGGAATGATTAACTTACCATACTTGAAGGGGTCATGAGGCTGATCCTTGGGGGATTCTGAAAGATGAACATAGAGCAGGAGGTGAATTATGAAAGACTCAGAGATAGCCTTAACTCTGCTCCCCAACCGGTTAAGGCGAGGGAGCTGTCATCAAGATTAGAAAAATAGACAAGATAAACAGCAAAAAAAGTAAATAAATAAAGATTATTGATTTTTCTAATCTTGATTAGAAAAAAAAAAGAGTAAAAAGTTTATTTGTTTTAGTTCCTTTGAAATCCAGCAGGACATATGTTTAATCTCTAAGGCTTCCACCATGAGCAAATACTATAAGAACTAAAACATTTTTTTCTACACAAACCCACCCGATTATTATGTTCTTCATTTTCTCCTAATGCCAATCTGGCAGAGTGGATGTTGCATGCCTCACCTCTTAAATCAGTGTTGTTTCCCAACCCTTCGCAACTCTTAAGTTATGTGGACTTCAACTCCCAGAATTCCCCAGCCATCCTGAGTGGCTGGGGAAATTCTGGGATTTAAAGTCCACTTACCGGTAACTTAAAGTTGCCAAGGTTGGGGAAAACTGTTTTAAATCGTTGTATAGAACTCAGCATTTAAACCGGGACATCTATTCATGCAATTGTGGTCATAAGTCAAGGACTATCTGTATTCATTTCTTATTTATTTTTAAAAGCTTCATCTTGCCTACTGTATATGTTTTAGATCTATTCATTTCTGTCTATATTTATATGTATATAAGAGCTGTGGTGGTGCAGTGGTTAGAATGGAATGGAATGGAATAGAATAGAATAGAATAGGAGTTGGAAGGGACCTTGGAGGTCTTCTAGTCCAACCCCCTGCTTAGGCAGGAAACCCTACACCACTTCAGACAAATGGTTATCCAACATCTTCTTAAAAACTTCCAGTGTTGGAGCATTCACAACTTCTGGAGGCAAGTTGTTCCACTGATTAATTGTTCTAACGGTCAGGAAATTTCTCCTTAGTTCTAAGTTGCTTCTCTCCTTGATTAGTTTCCATCCATTGCTTCTTGTTCGGCCCTCAGGTGCTTTGTAGAATAGCTTGACTCCCTCTTCTTTGTGGCAGCCCCTAAGATAACGGAACACTGCTATCATGTCTCCCCTCGTCCTTCTTTTCATTAAACTAGACATACCCAGTTCCTGCAACCGTTCTTCGTATGTTTTAGTCTCCAGTCCCCTAATCATCTTGGTTGCTCTTCTCTGCACTTTTTCTAGAGTCTCAACATCTTTTTTATATTGTACTGCAGGCTAATTCTGCTGACTGCCAACTGCCAGCAGTTCAGGAGTTCGATTCTGATTGGCTCAAGATTGATTCAGCTTTCTATCCTTCTGAGGTTGGTAAAATGAGGACCCAGATTGTTGGGGGCAAGAGGCTGACTCTGTTAACTGCTTAGAGAGGGCTGCAAAGCACTGTGAAATGGTATATAAGTCTAAGTGCTATTGCTATTTTTCTCCCCTCATACTGTGGGCTGATGTATTTTATTATTTTACAACTGATCGCTGTTCTTAAGACGTTTTTCTTTTCAACTGTTTCAAAGCTGAAGAACAGGTACCACTTTCATGTACGTTGCCTTTTCATATGTTCCATTGACTTATTCATCAGAAACAAATGTCTCACCACTGGAGAACAGAGAAGGCTGGTGAACACATGGAGTTCTTCCTCTGTTCTAGTGAAGGGAAGTCAAAAGCAGTGCTGAAGTCAGCCGCTGTAAATAAATACTTGAAACGAGATCTCATCCTTGTTTTATTGACATGTAGCTCTGTTCAGCCCCTTTTATGATAGCTGGGGTGCAACGAACTCTGGATAAATTGGTTTTAACTCATGGCATTGTTTTACATGTTTGGCTCAGTGCTTAGCGCATTGTAAGCCGCCCTGAGTCTCCGGAGAAGGGCGGCATATAAATCAAATTTAAAAAAATTAAAAAGTGACTGGATTCAACTCATTGATCTAATTTGTAAGAGTTTGGTTAGATTAGCACTGGATTTCCCAACTTTGTCACCTTCTATCTAAACTGAAGATGTTACCTTAATGGGTAATAAAACGTTTGCAAGCAAACCACCAAATCCAGAGAGCACAGAGGGCTCCGCAGTTCAACCTTGAGCTACAGATATTCTTTTCCATTGGTTCTAAATATGTGCTTCTCAGTTCTTAGCAACAAGCATGTTAGCAGGGAATCCTGGGAATTGAAGTCTACACATCTGGGAATTGAAGTCTACAAATTCCAGAAGTTGTAAATGCTCCAACACTGGAAGTTTTTAAGAAGAGATTAGATAATCTGAAATGGTATAGGGCAGTGATGGCGAACTTTTTCGGCATCGAATGCCCAAACTGGAACATGTGTGCATGTGTGTGCATGTTCGCACGCTGGCATTGGAAATCCAAAGACCAGCTGGCCGGCGAAAGCATGCCTGTTTTTTAGGCGCTTGGGGGCCATTTTCAGGGTTGTTTTTGGCCCAGAAAATGGCCCGAAAACGGCCTGAAAACACCCAAAAAGCAGCCTAAAAATAGCCAGGAAAATGGCCTGTTTTCTGGGCATTTTGGGGCCATTTTCCTGGCATTTTTCTGGCCGAAAATGGCCTGAAAATGGCCAAAAAACTGCCTAAAAACAGGCCAGAAAATGGCCTAAAAACAGCCTGGAAAAGAACCCAGAAAATGGCCCCAAAATGGCCCTGGAAAACAGCCTGGTTTTCTAGAAACCAGAAGAGCCGTGGGCAACGGTGCGCGTGCCCACAGAGAGGGCTCTGCGTGACACCTCTGACACGCATGCCATAAGTTCGCCATCACGGGTGTAGGGTTTCCTGCCTAGGCAGGGGGTTGGACTAGAAGACCTCCAAGGTCCCTTCCAACTCTGTTTTTCTATTCTATTTCTCTTATTTCTATTTTTATTTCTATTATTCCTATTCCTATTCCTATTCCTATTCCATCCCATTCCGACTCAGATTGTTGAGGTCAATATACTGACTCTGTAAACCGTTTAGAGAGGGCTGTAAAAGCACTATGAAGCGGTATATAATTGCTATTGCTATTCCATTCCATTCCCTCTAAAAGTTGACAAAGTTGAATACACTGACTAGGACAATGGTGCCGAACCTATGGCATGCATGCCAGATGTGGCACACAGAGCCCTCTTGGCAGGCACGCACACCGTCGCCCCAGTTCTATTTCGGGTCTCTGCCGTGCATGCACGCAGATCTCCCACCAGCCAGCTGGTCTTCGGGTCTCTGCTGCGCATGCACGGGGCGTGCACACATATGTGCCCACGCAGTTTGGGTTCATGCGCACACTTTGGGCACTCAGTGCCTAAAAGGTTTGCCATCACTGGACCAGGACATGCTGTGAACTCTATAATGCATCGTAATTATAACTTAAAAAAACCATGGCTTAGCATGATGTGTAATCCTACCCATTCACTCTGTGTATTTTGTTCACTTTATTATAGTGAACAAAATACAACTGAACTTTCAAAATTACAACCATCATGTCTCGATGGAGCATCAGAGACTCACTTTCAATGTCACCAACTCTTTCACCATCATTAATATTATACAGGCAATAAATAATCCTAACCCCAAATGTGGGCGAGATTTTTCAGGCTCTAAGGTTAAATTGACTCATAGGAATACATACATACATACATACATACATACATACATACATACATGTATATAGTTGATGAAGGGAGGAGAACTTGTGGCTCAGAAGGTTAATTCAACTGCCTAACATGCGGGAAGCCCAAGTTCGAATCCAAGTAAGGGTATGGCTAGCTGATGAAAGCTAAAAAGCTTGAAATAGATCTATACTAGTCTCCCTTTATTTCTTTATCAGCAAAATATAAATTCGGTATAAAACGGTTTGTCGTGAATGCGACTGCTTGAGGGCTCCTGGATTGGAGCTGAAAGGCAAAAGGGAGCAGAATGCCCCCTCCCACATATTGGGGTAGACCAGGTGTCTCGGTAAACACTTAATATATATATATATATATATGGCTTCCTGGCTTCCGTTAAAGATCAGATCAATATTCTACAAGAGTTTTTGAATTTCAATTCTCAAAACCTCAGCCAGATAGGTTATCTATGAATAAGGGGCCGGAAGGCCCATGGGTGACTGTGGGAATCACTCTGTTTTGCAACACAAGCCACGGGACTTCCATATCTGCCTCCGATGTCTGGACTCCAGTTCAAAAGGTCAGGGTTTGTCTCACGGTGTCACAAGGCATCATTTTTGTGTCACCTTGAGTTGTACAGGGGCAGAGAAGTGGACACCCAACACTTTAATAGCACAGCAGAACAGGCAATGGGTACTGACTAGAACTAACTTTCAAAATATTCCGTAATATGCAGCGGTGGTTTGCTAATGGTTCACCCCGGATGTGGTGAACTGGTAGCGGCAGTGGCGGGAAGCTCCACCCATCCGATCGGAGGTCTCTGCGCATGTGCAGAAGTGTTGTGTGCCCGCCTGCGTGCGCACGCCCACGTGCCTGCGAGCAAACGAAATTGAAACCCACTACTGGTAATATGCATCCCTTGGAGTGGGGAGTTGCTAAGAAGCTTTGGTATAGCGCATCTTTTGTATCTTACTCTACAGAAAGCATAGGTAGTCCTCGTCTTACCACCACAATTGAGCCCAAAATTGCTAAAGTGTTAGAGTTTGCAGTAATTTCAACCAGCACACATGTAAACAATTCAGCAGGATTCATTTATAATCTTCTTTATATACAATACCATGCAGCAGAAGCCAGAACCAGAACTCAGAATCCAGAAGTACAGAATCAATAATCACAAAAGCTATATAATACAGAGGAGCACTCTCTCTCTCTCTCTCTCTATATATATATATATATATACAGATCAGTGAACCTAAGACATGCCCAGGCTCCGAGCCATATGGGTGACCAAACAGTCCCCATTGGCTGACCTGTTGCCATGTCTATTCCATTTCATGACCTCTTGTACACTAACATTAAGTCAATTTATTAAGTAAGAAATTTATTAAGTGAGCTTTGCCCTACTTTATGACTTTTCTTGCCATAGTTGTTAAGTGAATCACTGCAGTTGTTAAATCAGTAACACGGTTGTTAAGGGAACCTGGCTTCCCTGTTGATTTTATTTATTTATTTAGTTATTTATTTAAATTTATATACCGCCCTTCTCCCAAAGGACTCAGGGCGGTGAACAGCCAAAGGTAAACACACAGAGTACAAAAATTTAAGAACGGTTTAAAAAAAACATATTAAACAATTTTGGCCCAACAGTTAAAATACCCCTTTTAAAATTAAAATTAAAATTAAGCAATTGGAGAAGTTAGGCCAGCCCGGCTTGTTGAAATAAAAAAGTCTTGAGGGCCCGGCGGAAAGTACGTAAATCCGGAATCCTCCGTATGTCCGGGGGGGAGCTCGTTCCAGAGGGCTTCCTTGTCACAAAAGGGGATCACATGCCCATCCCTGGACATTGCAAACCATCATAAATGTGAGTCCATTGTCAAGCATCCGTGGTGAGCTTGAAAACTGCCTGCCGGCTGCCTGCAGTTCGGCAGTTCGATTCTCACCAGGCTCAAGGTTGACTCAGCCTTCCATCCTTCTGAGGTCGGTAAAATGAGGACCCAGATTGTTGGGGACAATAAAACTGACTCTTTAAACTGCTTAGAGAGGTTCTGTAAAGCTCTGTGAAGTGGTAGATAAGTCTAAGTGCTACTGCTATCCAAATGTAAATCATGTGGCCATGGGGATGCTGCTATGGTCATAAGTGTGAAAAATAGTCACAACTCACTTTTTTTCAGTGCCACTGTACCTTTGAACGGTCACTAAGTGAACTGTCGTAAGTCGAGGACTATCTGTATGAAGTTGTAGAAGGTGGATTTAGAAAAAAAACCAGCCAGTCTGGGACTCAGATTATGGCAATTTTATATCTCAATGTTTTTTGCGCTAAGCAGGATACAGTGAGATGGGCTTGTTTGTGTGTAGATGTGTGTTTCCGAAGGGCAGAGTTCTTACTTTCTGTCGTAAGTCCTCGAAGTCCAGACTTGACCTTACCTGCCGCTGAGTTTGCTATGAAGATCCCACAGATAGGAAGGAGGAGCCACATGTCTACAAGATGAGAGGAGATAAAAAAATAGAAAAAGGACAATCAGGTTCCTGGATGGAACAAAGCCGTTGAGTTGGTTGGAAGCATATAACCCAACAGTGAAACACTCAATCCATATTCTGTGGTTTTGGTTTTGCTTTCTAGGAAATAGCGGGTTCCCCATTTCCCCATTTGGAAATAGCAAATTGTTCCGTCCTTACAGCTGGGTGGAAAGCCAGATGTTGCTGAACTACAGTTCCCATCTGATCATATTTGGCTAAGGGGACAAAAGCAGGGGTGAAATCCAGCACGTTCTGACAGGTTCCGGAGAACCGGTAGTGGAAATTTTGAGCAGTTCGGAGAACCGGCAAATACCACCTCTGGCTGCCCCCCAGAGCGGGGTGGGAATGGGGATTTTGCAGTATCCTTTCCCTGCCACACCCACCAAGCCACACCATGCTCACCAAGCCGCACACACAGAACTGGTAGTAAAAAAATTTGGATTTCACCACTGGACAAAAGATATGTCACATGAAGCATTCTTTTCTAAAAATCAAGTTGCAAACCTTTCCTTTCGACCCCTAATTCTCCCACCAAATGTTCCTGTTGTGATGGACCTTTTCAGGAGCACTACCACTCTTCCTTCCTTCCTTCCTTCCTTCCTTCCTTCCTTCCTTCCTTCCTTCCCTCCCTCCCTCCCTCCCTCCCTCCCTCTCTCCCTCCTTCTTTCCTGGCTTCCTTCCTTCTTTCTTTCCATAGTGTGCAGTGGTTAGAATGGATTATTGCAGGCTAACTCTGCCCACTGCCAGCAGTTCGATCCTGACCGGCTCAAGGTTGATTCATCCTTCCATCCTTCCGAAGTGGGTAAAATGGGGACCTAAATAGTTGGGAGCAAGAGGCCGACTCCATAAACCGCTTAGAGAGGGCTGAAAAGCATGTAAAGCAGTATATAAGTCTAAGTGCTATTATTACTTACTTATTTATTTATTTTATTATTTAAATTTTTATACCGCCCTTCTCCCTAGGGACTCAGGGCGGTGCACAGCCACAGTAAAATACATATATCCATAAAGTTTAAAAACAGTTTAAAACATATTAAATAATTTGGCCCTTATATTAAAAAACTAAAACACCCATTAAAATTCGCTATTTAAGCCAGCCCAGCCTGTTGAAACAATAAAGTCTTAAGGGCACGTGCTAGTGCTATAAAACGGCATATCTATCACATCGCAATGTATTTTTGAAGAAGAGGTGGACAAGATAGGGCAGAAGGTGGGGCCGCTGGAACAGCTGGAGAGGAAAGCATTCTGCATGGAAGAAGGAGGTGGTGGGGAGGAGGAGGAGGAGAGACCAGAACAGCCAGGTGGAAAGGAAACAGAGCGGGGAGGAGAGCAAAGCAAGCTTGGAACAGCTGGTGCTGGGCCCACAATTTCACATTCTGAAATGACCCAGCTGGCCTTCGAAGGGAGGACAAAGGCCAGTTGCTATGGCGGTGAACTGTTTGCAGCGCACTTTCAGCAATGTTTGCAGACGATAACCTGTCTCCACGGTGTTCAGGGATGTGGCAACCAGCTTCCCTTCTGCCAGCTGTTGCCCACCAGGCAATTTCCAGATTGCAAATGCCTACAGACCATGCTTAGTCAGGACATATGGGGAGGAGTGTGTGTGTGTGTGTGTGTGTGTGGGATGTGTGTGTGTGGGATCAGCATTGTTGAAATCAAAAGCAGCCCAACTTCACACACAAGCTGAGCTGGCAAGTACCCCAGGCATCATATGGTCTAGGGTGCTTTTATGGGAAAAACAAAAGGGGATTTGCGAAAAAAACAAAAGTTGCAACATATTCTCTCCGTGACCCACAACCACAACAAAATACTTTTCTGACCCTGGTGGACAGGGGACAACTGGAGTTGCAACGTCGCATTTCCAGCGGGAGGCCACACCAGCCCAATGACAACCCTGTCAGCGGGAATACTGTGTTTGGGCTCTGAACTAAAACTTCTCCTTACAAATCTGAGTTCCCAGCGAAGAAAAAGAGAAAGAAAGAAATTTTTAAAAGGAAAGAATCAACTTTGTTTCTCAGGCTTTTTTTTTTTTAAAAAAAAAGTTCATGTACCAGCAAATATATTTTTATATTCATCTAAAAATATGAATATAAATAAGCTTTTCCCACAGAGCATGTGAGCTCCTGCCCTTTGAGATCCGCACTTTTTGACCTTAAAGCTGAGACCTCAAACTGGAAAAAGAAAACAGAAACCTCAGTATTTCTTACTCGTGACAGCTAGTCCTTGATTTAGGACCACAACCGAGTCCAACATTTCAGTTGCTAAGCGAGACATTTGTTAAGTGAGTTTTGCCCCCATTTTATGACCTTACTGCAGGGGTGAAATTCAGCAGGTTCTGACAGGTTCTGCAGAACCGGTAGTGGAAATTTTGAGTAGTTCGGAGAACCGGCAAATACCACCTCTGGCTGGTCCCAGAGTGGGGTGGGAATGGGGATTTTGCAATATCTTTCCCCCAGGAGTGGGGTGGGAATGGAGATTTTGCATTTCCTTGCCACGCCCACCAAGCTACACCACACCCACCAAGCCTACAGAACCGGTAGGGAAAAAATTTGAATTTCACCCCTGCCTTACAGACCACAATTGTTAAAAGAATCACTGCCCTTGTTAGGCTAAGAAAACGTTTGTTAAGTGAATCTGGCTTCCCTATTTGTCTTTCCTTGATAGAAGGTCATAAAAGGGGAACACATGACCCTGGGACACTGCAACCGTCATAAGTATGAGTCCATTGCCAAGCATCTGCATTTTGATCACGTGACCATGGGGGATGCTGCAATGGTCGTAAGCATGAAAAATCACTTTTTTTCAACGACGTAACGTTGAACGGTGATTAATGAACTTTACATATTTAATTTGGCCCTCTAGTGAATTTTCTCCGCTCTAACTTAAAAAAGTTCATCACAGACTCAATGAACATTGTACATATTAAAGTTGTCAATTACCGCAGTAATTGAAAATCCCTGATATTTTTATCTGCATTAGTCTCTGAAAGCTATTCCAAAACTTCTGGATTTTCTGTTGTAAGTTAAGGACTACCTGTACTGCATAAAAATCCATTGCTTTCATTGTTCGGGTGGCTTCATTAAAATGTTCAAAAGCAACAGAAAAAATAACGCATTAGGTATCTCTCCAAAGCTTGCAGATTCCCAATCAAAAGGCACAGATTTTTTTTTTTTAAAAAAAAGCAATAATTTTTTTTTAAAATGTGATGGTAAATCTATTTTGCTGGAAGATATACAGATAGTCCTTGTCTTAACGACCATCAATGAGCCCAACATTTCCTTTGCTAAGCGAAACATTTGTTATGGGAATTTGCCCCCTTTTACGACCTTTCTCGCCACAGTTGTTAAGTGAATCTGGCTTCCCCCATCGACTTTGTTTATAGGAAGGTCACAAAAGGTGATCACCTGATCCCAGGACACTGCAACCATCATAAAGATGACTCAGTTGCAGAGTGTCCAAATGTTGATCCTTTGACCATGAGAATGCCGCAAGGATCATTCAGTGCATTACGGTGTGGTATGCCGGCTTGACAGCCGCAGATAGAAAGACGTTACAGAGGGTGGTGAGCACAACACAAAATATTGTGGACTGTCCCCTGATACCACTAGACGACATCTCTAGGGCTCACTGCCTTAGAAGAGTGAGGAAAATCCTCAGGGACGACTCACACCCTGGTCAGCCCTTCTTTACTCTCCTGCCGTCGGGAAGGAGATGTAGAAGCATAGGCTGCTGCACAAATAGGCTGAAGAACAATTTTATTTGCAAGCTGTCAGGCTTCTGAATCAGTGGTAGGTTGCCCCCGGTTTGGACCGGTTCGCAAGAACCGGTAGTAAAACCAGCGGGAGGCCCTTCCCACCGCCCTGGATGTCGTCATCAGTGATCCCGTTGCGAACCTGTACTAAAGGTAAGTAGAACCCACCCCTGTTCTGAATGGAAAATAACTTTACAATCAGGGATGGGCTCCTGGGGGTTCGGCAGGGTTCAGCCGATCCTCTAGCCAAGGATCACCAGAGTTCGGTGAACCCTCAAATGCAAAAACCATGCCCATTCTGCCCCTTCCTGTCCCTCCCCTCCCCGGAGTCTCCACGCGGCCCGTTCATCATTCCAGGTAAGCGCAGGGGCCGCGTGGAAGGTCTGGAAGGGCAAAAAACAGGCCTACGAGAGGTTCTGGAAGTCCGGAAACGGGCCTGTTTCTGGCCTCTGGAGGGCCTTCGGAGCCTGGGGGAAGTAGTTTTCACCCTCCCAGAGGCTCGAGGAAAGCCTCTGGAGCCTGGAGAGGGGAAAAAATCCCCCCCTCCGCCATGGTGCAGGCGGCTGAGTACGCCACACCCACGATAGCCGTGCCCACTCAGCAACGGGTCAGCAAACCCGATCTGAAGCCCACCCATGTTTACAACAATATAGTATGATTGACTTGCAGGGCTGGCGCGATGTGCAATAAGTTCACAAGTTGCAGTAGGATTGTGTGTTTGTTAGAAAGATTCACTGAGTCGGGGATTTTTTCTTTTCTTTTACTGTCTTTCACTGCTAGTTGTATTGGGTTGGTGGGGGGGATGCACGAAGGGAGGCTCAGCCAATCTCATTGTACACATGTTGGACACTGATAATAAAGGTTTGGATTTTTGAATTTGAAGTGTAAAAAATGGGGATAAATCGCTTTTTTTCAGTGCCATTGTAACTTCAATGGTCACTAAACAAAAGGTTGTAAATTGAGGACCACCTGTACGTATCTTCTTCAGAGTAAAACAAGGAGGGTTGATGGGTTCAGGTATGCAAAGCCTCCCTTCCCCTTTTTTCCTATCCCAATTCCGTATCACTCTCCGAGCCAGGTTTTTTCCCCAGTAAACATCCTTTTGACTAACAGGCTTGGCTTCTATTGCTAATCAACAGGAAAGGAAATGGAAACACTCCCCGTCCTTTGGCTCACTTGTGGCCTGAAAGTTTTTTCACCACAAACAGAAAACAGGCTTAATATTTCCCTGTGCAACAAAAAAAGCAGGCGTCTTACGTCTTCAGAGCTCTGGGCCTCCTGCTCCGAGTTAGATAATATTTTCCTTCCAAAACTGGATGGAAAAAGAAATGCAACATTCTGCTTTTCCTTGGAATTCAGTTCACTTCTCTTCTCCCATCGTGAAATGGGAAGAAATGGGAAGGTTTTACCAGGACACAAATCCAGCATGAGTTGCTCACTTCTAGCTGGACCACAAAAACATGCCTGAAGAGTTTAAGAATCATTTTAAACATAATTTCGTTCATTCGTTAGTTTACTTTACTGTCGTTGCACCTCGTACAAGGAAATTAAATGCCATCTTCAGTGTACATTATACGTAAAAAATAAAACAAAAAACACACATCCTTCACATTCTATACAATTGAAGACCCCCCGATATTGCATTAATAGTGCAATAATATTGCACTATTCAATAGAATTCAATATAGTTACTGCTCTGGGATAGAAGCTGTTTTTCAGCCTATTTGTCCTTGGTTTTATTGCCCTGTACCGTCTGCCAGATGGTAATAGTTAAAAAAAATAAAGGGTGCCCAGGATGAGATGGATCTTTAAGAATGTTTTGAACTTTCTTAAGGCAGTGGGAGCTATAAAGCTCTTCCAAAGAGGGGAGAGGGCAACCAATGATCCTCTGGGCAATGACGTTGACCCTCTGGAGCGATGTCCTATCTGCCACTGTGCAATTGGCAAACCATACACAGCGGCAGTAAGTTAAAATACTCTCTACGGTGCAGTGGTAGGAGGTCACCAGCAGTTTTTCATTCAGTTGTTGTTTCCTGAGAAATCTCAGGTAGTATAATCTCTGCTGGCCCCTTTTGACCAGGGCTGCAATGTGAGCGCCCCAGGTCAGCTCCTCTTTTATGATAACGCCCAGAAATTTAAAACTGGCCGTTTGCTCCACTTGATCTCCATTGATAAGCAAGGGCTGGATGTTTGTTTGTTTGTTTGTTTGTTTGTTTGTTTGTTTGTTTTATTAGATTTATATACCGCCCTGCTGCCAAAGGACTCAGGGCGGTGAACAGGCACAAAATAAAATACATAGATACAAAAGTTAAAAGACATAATTAAAACCAGATTAAATAATTTAGCCCAAGACAATTAAAAAAACCCAATAATTTAAAACAGATTAAAATTTCGATTTAAAAGAATTTTAAAACAGGGGAGAAAATTAGGCCAGGCCGGCTTGCTGGAATAGGAGAATCTTAAGAGCACGGCGGAAAGTGCGTAGATCCAGGATCCTCCGTTTCTCTGGGGGGAGCTCGTTCCAGATAGTGGGTGCCCCCACAGAGAAGGCCCTCCCCCTGGGGGCCGCCAGTCGACATTGTTTAGCTGACGGCACCCGGATGTCTGATCTATTCCTTCTATAGTCCACTATAAGCTCCTTGGTCTTATTGGTGTTAAGGACCAAGTTATTGTCTCCACACTACGAAAGCAACCAGTCCACCTCATCTCAATAGGCTGATATCGATAGGCTGATAGATATATAATCCTGGTCCATTAAGTAAAAATCAAACATTGGTGTTTGCAAAATATTCTGCATGTTCTTAAAGGTTTTTTCCTAAGGCCATAGAAAGGAGAAATAATTAAACTCGTGGTGTCTATTAATTCTAATGCAGTGTTGATGTACATCAAATCAATTCAAAGGTTCATCTTGGTCTCACCTACTCATTTCTGGAGTGGATACAACATGTCACCCATCAGTTTATCACTCAAAGGCTGGGGTGATTGCTGCTCTGGAAAAACTGGGTTGGCTCTAAATAAGCCACAATGAGCAAACTTGTATAACATGCTCCACAACACCAAACAAAGCACATTAGTGTGAAGAGTGCATGTAAGCACCAGCAAAACGATACCTCTGGCCCAGAGGTGAAATGCTCCTGGTTGGGACAGGTTCAGCCGAACCAGTAGCAATGGCGGCCGGTGGTTCGGAGAACCGGTAGCGATGGCGGCGCGAGGCTTCACCCACCCGCCCGGTTGTCGTTACTTCCTGGTTTTAGGTAGGAAGTAACCTGTTTTTTACCCTCTGTGCATATGCAGAAGGGTTTGTGCATGCACAGAGGGTCCAAGCGCGCATGTGATGCACGCATGCGCAGCACGTGCACTTTTGAACCGGTTGGGAAGGCAAGTAGATTTCACCCCTGCTCTGGCCCATTGTGGTTCCCCACTCATGCTCTGTGTGAAACTGAAAGCAACATACAGCATCAATAGACTTTAGTCTGCTTGAATCGGTTTAAGCTCTACGTTTTAAAGCCTATCTTTCTCTTAAGCCATCTTCCTTGGGGGCCATTACTGTATCATGTTGCAGCAAGTGCCATAGGTTGCTCAGCTGCTATGTTTGAAGATTGCATATGCACTTGGGTGTGTGAGAAAGAGAAAGATGCAGAGAGAGACTTTCCTCCAAAATTGGGAAAGAATCAGCATGTGATTGAAGCTTCCTGAAATTTATCAAAACTGGGCCCATCCAGACATATTGAGATCCACACTTAACAAATTTATCTGCCTTCATTGCAGGACAGGAGGAAAACTGGCTGAGAGCAGATTTCTTATTTGCTGTTGGATTTATAGTCGTTGACATCAAATTGGCATGGTATGAGTGTTTGTGTGTGTCTTCCTATTGTTTCTTAATCCTTGTTTGTTCCTACCATTCTCTGACTCAGCTTCCCTTTCGCTCAACAAGGACACCTCAATCCCAACAAGAAGTCCATTTCCTGGGTGGCTTGGCTGCCAGTGGTAGGTTGTTACCGGTTCACTCCAGATTGGGCAAACCGGTAGCGGTGGTGGCAGGAGGCTCTGCCCACCTGCCCGGACGCTTCTGCACATGCACAGAAGCTTCTGCACATGTGCAGAAGCATCGCGCAAGTGCGCAAGAGCCCACGAGCAAACTGGTAGCGACGGGTTTTGAAACCTGCCCCTGTTGGCTGCAGAAGAAAGGGAGATCCTGTCCAGCAAGGTTACTTCTCCCATTAGCCAGAGTAAAACCTTCTCCAGCTTGCCATGGTGATCCACCACAGGACAATATTGATCAAGTCCTCACCTGAGCTCATTTTCTTTCCCCTTGTTGCTGGGGACTCTGCAAAACATCGCAGTTGGTGGTGAATAGTTGTCTGCACACAACCCATTGGACATCACTAATTAAAATAATTTTTGGTGTACCACAAAGGAGGCAGGGCCAAGACAACAAGTCTCCAATTCTACACTAAAACCCATGGAAAGCAACAAAATGTGTAGTCACCATCAATTTCAAAGTCTTAGCATTTATGTCTCACAGGTATCTGGACTTGATACTCTTGGCTCAGATCAAGAAGACAATGAATCCTCGGCCAAATTGGGACTTGAACAAGCCTCTTCTCCATTTATCCATCACTTGGATTCAAGCATCGAGTTCTACAGACGTTCTACCAGCATCAGGTTCTACAGAAATAGTGAAAGCTACTTTCTTTCAGCCTGGATTAGGATTACATTCTCTCACTGTCCTTTATTTAATCATAGCTTCTTAATTAAATCACTATTGGCTGGGTGGGCACAGTAGCTAACTCCCAAACCAAGGGAACTGCACCCATCCTGGGCACAATATGTGAATCAAACCTATTTGTCTCTCTAACCTAAACAGAACAGTGATTGCTAACCTTTTCCAGACCGAGTGCCCAAAGTGCAATGCGCATATGGGCCCCATCATGCGCCCCCATGCATCTGCGCATGGCTCCCTGCATGCACCCCACCCCCGCATGTGCCCCACCTCCTTGCACATTCACACGTGGCCCCCCTGTACATGTACGTGCCAGAGGTTCGCCATCACGGGGTTATAACAACTGGCACTTCAGAAACTCTTAATGATCTACTGTAAGTTATTAGATCTATAAAATATCAGTGGGGGTCTGGTAGCACTAAAGTTATTCATAAAGTCAACTTGATAAAGTCGGCTGTGATTCACCAAAGCCTATACTTGTGAATAAAATTGGTTCATCTGAAAAGGTGCTACCAAAGTCCTCCTGATTTTTGGTTGTTATAGATTAATTCAACTCTCTTATCACATCTAGGAGATCTACAATATCAGCAAGTAATCCATTCTGTCCTTCTTCGTGTTCCTTTCCCAGGCTGCCAACTCGGCTACAACAGCTGTGCAATCTGGCTATTTTTTGACACAGGCGCCCTGACTCACCTTCCTAGGCACAGTCCTGTCCCAACAGTGATGCCGGAGGTGCTATTGTGTCGTTTCCCCCAAATTCAGGCCCCCAAAATATTTGGCTCCCCACCCTGCAGGGCCCTATGTACCTACCCTTTGATGCCTGCCCCACACCAGGACTCTCTTGGATATTTCAGAGGAACAGAATCAACAGCTTGTAGGAACTCCGGGGAAAGGCAAGGCACTGGCTTGTGGCACAGAGAGAACGAGACCGAGAGAGATCAGAAGAGCTAAATTTGTCTGCCTTGGCTTTGGGACAGATGTGGGAGGGGGACAGAGCAAGGCCTGCTAGCAGAACATGCGAAGGACAAAACAAACAAGCCACACACAGGCAATAAGGGGAAGGAAGCAATGGGGGGGAAGGAATTGGGATGGGCTGATGTATGCAACCACCACCCACCTCAATAACGCAGCCTTGGAAATTACTCCCTGCGAGATACGGCATGTTTTTAACTAGCCCGGAGGTCACATCTAGAGGGGTCACTCAATAGATATCTGAAAAGGAAAGGCAAGGGAGTGGGAAGGAAGGAAGGAAGGAAGGAAGGAAGGAAGGAAGGAAGGAAGGAAGGAAGGAAGGAAGGAAGGAAGGAGGGAGAGTGGGAAGGAAGGAGGGAGGGAGGGAGGGAGGGAAAGAGTGGGAAGGAAGGAAGGAGAGTGGGAAGGAAAGAGAAGGAAGGAAGGAAGGAAACAGAGTGGGAAGGAAGGAGGGAGGAAGGAAGGAAGGAAGGAAGGAAGGAAGGAAGGAAGGAAGGAAAGAAAGAGAGTAGGAAGGAGGGAGGGAAGGAAGAAGGGAGGGAGGGAAAGAGAGTGGGAAGGAAGGAAGGAGAGTGGGAAGGAAGGATGTCCCTTTGTCTATAAAACCATCGAGACACATGAGTCTTTGCCAACTTAAGAGAAGGACATGCAGGAAGGAGCTTGCAATCCACATTCAGCAGTGGGTGGGAGAGACAACAAAGAAAAAAAATGAGAGAAGAAATATGTACAAAAGCATGGTTAGATCTGGGCTTCCCTTCCAGTGAGGTCAGAAAAGCTCATGCATAAGCAATCTTTGTTAACGGGAAGGCATGGAGGAAGATGTGGAGACTCTAGAAAGAGTGCAGAGAAGAGCAACAAAGAGGATTAGGGGACTGGAGGCTAAAACATACAAAGAACGGTTGCAGGAATTGGGTATGTCTAGTTTAATGAAAAGAAGGACCAGAGGAGACATGATAGCAGTCTTCCAATATCTCAGGGACTGCCACAAAGAAGGGACAGTCAAGTTATTCTCCAAAGCACCTGAAGGCTGGAGAAGAAGCAATGGATGGAAACTAAATATGGAGAGAAGCAACCTAAAACTAAGGAGGAATTTCTTGACAGAACAATTAATCAGTGGAATGACTTGTGGGTGCTTCAACACTGGAGGTTTTTAAGAAACTGAACAACCATTTGTCTGAAATGATTTCCTGCTTGAGCAGGGGGGTTCAACTAGAAGACCCTTCCAATTCGGTTGTTATTCTGTTGTTCTACTGTGTTAAAAAGGAATTCCCAGGAAGGTAGAAACGTATAAGCAAAACAATCGAGTGCAGAATAGAAAACAGTGCAGAAAAGCTGAGGGATGCAGATCTTCTTCGGGTGCTAGGAGGAGGGCCAAGATGGAAGGCTTGAGATCACAAGGCTGGTGCCTGGCTTCCCTTGACTTCCCTATTTTTTTAAAAAATGGAAAGCCAACTTCTACCACTAAATTTCCAAGAACAGTTCAGGGCCCCAAAAGTCTTCCCTGAAAACCAAAGCGGTGCTAACTTATTGTTTTTAATGCTAGTTATAGCCTCCTTCGAGTCAAGCTCGTCTCTCGGCAATTTCACGGACGCATCCATGCAGTTTCCTTGGCAATAAGTTGAAAAGGCGTGTTTGCCTGTTGCCTTCTTCCAGGACTCCTTTGAACTTCCCAGTCTAGCCAACAACTCTTTAATTGCCTGGCAGCCTCCCATTCAAACCCTAACTACGGTAAGCTGCGACTCTGCTTAGCTTCCAAGCTGAACTGAGCTTTTTCTTAAAGACTTGACTTGACTTGACTTAAAGAGTCAAATAACTTTGAGGACAAGGAATGGATTTTCTCTCTTTGTTGGCCCATGGTCCTTACTTTATTTTTTTCATGAGTTCTTACAGCGATGGCGAACCAGTGGTGGGTTGCCCCCGGTTCAGACCGGTTCGCAAGAACCGGTAGTAAACCGGCAGGAGGCTCCGCCCATCACCCTGGATGTCGTCATAGGCGATCTGGGCATGCGCGAGCACGATCCTGTTGTGAACCGGTAGTAAAGGTAAGTAGAACCCACCCCTGTGGCGAACCTTTTCGGCACCGAGTGCCCAAACTGGAAGGTGCATGCATGTGTGTTCATGTGCGCGCACCGGAGCACCAGAAACCCAAAAATCAGCTGGCCTGTGCGTGCATGTTTTTGGCTGTTTTTCAGGCTGTTTTCAGGCTGTGCTCCGGCGCCCACAAAGAGCAGCTGGCTGGCACTCCAGAAACCAGAAGAGCAGCTGGCGACAACGTGCGTGCCCACAGAGAGGGCTCTGCATGCCACCTCTGGCACGTGTGCCATAGGTTCGCCATAACTGAGTTATTGGAATGGAAAGATGCGGTAAGGAAAGCTCTGAAGGAAGCAAACAGTAGCTAGAAACCCTGCTCTAGAGCCTCACTGCATCTGATCTCTTATTGGCCAGCATGCTGTCTAAATATATCTAACCTGGCAAGATGTTGGAGTTATAAATATTCCCCCTTCTCAGTCCCTGTGACATGCAGCCCCCAAGTGACGCCGGGGTTCAGTACAAGCCCTCCTAGAGGAGATACATAGCAACAGAGTAGATACATGGCCAGTTAGAGGACAGGACTTTAACCTCTTTCTTATCCACCCTTTCACAGAGGTCCTTGACAGGGGAAAAAGTTTTTGGCAACGGGAGAAACAGTAGCTGGGGCCAATCCAGGCATGTAGAAAGTTTAGAACAAACAAGGGCATTCAGGATCCAGAGTGTCAACAGCACTGCAGAATATCACACCATTTCAAACCCACATTTTAGGGATTTTTTTTTAAAAAAATTGAAATATCTTAATGCCAGGCATGGACCTGATGGCTTCCTTGGTAGATTTACAGAAGTGGTTTGCCAAAGCGTTTTTCCAGAAGAATATATATATATATATATACACACACACATATATTGATTTTCCAAACTAACTGCAACCCTGCTATTCCCATCTAAACGCAAGCTAAAAAGTTGGCATCTGATGAAGCCAACAGATTGAAGCCAATACGAGCCGTTTCATTAACTAGAATCGAATCAAGTTTTTTTTTTTTTAATTTGATTTATATGACGCCCTTCTCCGAAGACTCAGGGCGGCTTACAATGTGCTCAGCAAGTTAACATCCAGAGTGCTTCTCTCCAGGAAGGTATTCCCAAAATTAGCAGAAAGGTCCTTTAATAAATGAGGAGAGGCGTGGAAAAGATTGTCACCATACAGGCAGTCCTCCACTAAACAATCAAAAATTTGCATTGCAGGCATCTGTTTTTATCGAACCTGCTTAAGAGATTTTTTGTGCATTCAGTGCTTTCAAGCAAAATTGCATCTCCCTGTTTCAATTTCTCCACTTGTAAAATGGGACTGGAAACCATTTTATTCAACCTGCACAGTGAGATCACGAACGCAACACATTTTTCTCAGTCTCTTATTCTGCACGATTTCAAGAAACAGTTTTATTTAGACAAGCTAACCAGAGTTTTTTTTTGTAAGAGTGGTTTGCAAGCCTTGGTTTATGCAGTTTAGCTCAATATGAATGAATAGAATAGAGCTGGAAGGGACCTTGGAGGTCTTCTAGTCCAGCCCTCTGCTCAAGCAGGAGAACCCATACAATTTCAGACAAGTGACTGTCCAGCCTCTTCTTAAAAACTTCCAGCGATGGGGCGCCCATGATTTCTGTTCCATTGGTTAATTGTCCTTACTATTAGGAAGTTTTTTCCTTAATTCCAGGTTGCTTCTCTCCTTGATCAGTTTCCAACCATTGTTTCTTGTCCTGCTTTCTGGTGGTTTGGAGAATAATTTGACCCCCTCTTCTTTCTGGCAGCCCCTCAAATACTGGAACACTGCTATCATGTCATCCCTAATTCTTCTTTTCTTTAGGCTAGCGAGACGCAAAACCTGCAGCCGTTTCTTCATATGGTTTAGTCTCCAGGCCTTTGATTATCTTAGTTGCTCTTCTGTGAACTTTTTCCAAAGTCTCAACATCTTTTTTGTAGTGGGGTGACCAAAATTGGTTGCCTTATTCCTGGTGTGGTCTTACTAGGGTTTTGTAAAGCGGCACTATGTTCATCCAGTCATTGGTGGCTTATTCAATAAATCATGGGTTAAGCAAATGAGACTTTGATGCACTGTACAAATCCACCTTTTGGCTGCACAGAATTTGGGAGGTTTTTTCTCAGCAACTCCTTTGTTTAAGGTTCCTGATGAGATTTCTCAAACTACCACACTCCAGCTCTGCAGAGGGACCATTGCTGATAGTTGGAAATCACCAAGCAATTTTCTACGGAACCCACTCATTTTCTCAACGGGATCCTTTATGCCCCCATGACAAACTTCACCCCTTTTCTTCTTCAGACACCTCCATTAAGTAAAGAGGTTCGTCAATGATGGCCTATCTCTCCTTCGCCATCAGCAGACCAGCTGTATCTGTTTCCCAAGCAGGGTGAGAGAGAAATACAGGCAGTCCTTGACTTATGACCACAACGGAGCTCCAAATTCCCATTAAGTGAGACATTTGTTAAGTGAGTTTTGCCCCATTTTATGACCTTTCTTGCCTCTGTTGGCACAGGTGCCTTGGAAATGTGCCACCAACCCATCAAAAGTGAAGTAGTGAGGGTCCCCTGTCACTGTGCAGGTTCCCCACAGAGAGTGACAGCCTAATTTCCCATCTTTCACAGTACATCTCTGTCTAGGATTACAACTGGCAGCAACGCAGCGGAAGTCGGAGGGGCCGTAACAACTGCATTGCTCATGGCAACCAGGCAGCCAGACCCGGTCTCCAATCTGCAAAGAAATGTTAACAATGAAGTTCATCAGATCAAGGTCTAGTGAGGTACTAATACCACTCTATAAAGCCTTAGTAAGACCACACCTAGAGTACTGCATCCAGTTTTGGTCACCACACTATAAAAAAAGATGTTGAGACTCTAGAAAGAGTGCAGAGAAGAGCAACCAGGATGATTAGGGGACTGGAGACAAAACATATGAAG